TTTAGAAGAAAATATTCTTCCTTCCCTCTACTATTGAAAAAAAAATTTTTTTTTTTGGAATAATTGATTACTACATATTCATGCATGGTCTGTTGTTTATTTTCGATAATAAGTAAAAAAAATTCAAGAATAAGGTAACTTGAATGGCTCTTCAAATTCTCAACAATGTTGTTCAACAATGTTGATGATTTCATCTATCACCATGACCACGTCACATTGCATTCACATCAGAAATTCTTGACAGGCTGTGAAGATAATTTCATGAAATTCATAAGCGATCACAGATGTTTATCAAACGTTCCTGATCTCAATGTTCCAGATTATTATCTTTGGGGTGCTATTGCTAAAAATAGAAAATAGAAAACAAATTTAAAACACTCTAATTCATTAATTGATTAAATAAGCAAAGGAGCTCGTCGTGTATAGCGAGATGAAGATATTTTATTGCCTACAAAAAAAAGTGTGGGTATAATTGTCAATGTACGGTGCGTTTGTGTATATTAGTTTTCTTCACACCTACCCCTTCACTAGAGCCCGTCAGATTTAAAATTTCTAGATTCGAACTCGAATCTATAAGGTTCTAGACTAACCGGACTGACTCTAATCCTATACTCAAACTTCCACTTCACACTTCACCATTAACAGAGTCACTTGATGACGTCTGAGATATTTTCGACACTTGAGCACTATATTTCCTCTCTAATTTTATACGATTGAGATTTTTTCCTATCACCCAAATTGCTACATATCATAAAGTAAGCGTTGTATTATAGAAGTTTTTACGCAGCATCCTGTACTATATATTGATTTTTACTAAGACATGATAAATGATGAAAAATCAAATGCGAAACGCGACCATTTATTATGGCCCACCAATTATATTAAAAGTTGTACTTTTTATCTTATTTTCCAAAAAAACAAACAAACACAAACATATATAAATTAATATTTCATTAGAAAAAACATAAGTAAAACAACACGCACATTATCTTTTTTTGTTGCTTTTATTGATACAATGACTGTTACATAAACGAAGAATACACGTACAAAAAAACAAAACTATCTTTAACACACAAATATTATATACAATAAAAAAAGAAAAGGAAAGAAATATATCTGACTAAATCGCTTATAATGAAATTTGTTTTTATTTTAATTAAAATCGATTCTCTTGTTTATTTGCTCGTGTTGCTGATTTTCGTTTAACTGATTTAACTGTAATACGTTGTGGTGTCATTTGTTTATTTAATGTTTTAGCATATTTATCACAAGCTAAATCAAATGTAATTGCATATTGATTTGAATTATTATTTTCAAATTTTTGTCGAATAAATAATTCAAATATTTGTGTACGTGTAAACCATTCTAAAAATAATTCAATTGTATGTTGTTTTGATTGAAGAAATTCTTCGCGAAAAAAATTTTCATTATAATAATCTTTATAATTATAACATGATTGTACAAATATAGACATAAATACATTATGTAAACGTTGTTGACATTCATCTAATGATAAACTTAAACGAGTTTTACGTAATGATGATATTTCTTGTTTTAATTCAATTTTAAATATTTTAGGTAATATTTGAAAACGTGTTGTTTCTATATGTGTTAATGGAAAATTATGTAAATTTTCTATTGAACTACGATATGAATTATTTGTGAAATAATCATTTATTGAACGTATACGATCATGATCGATATCAACAATAAGTATATCGGAATTATCTTGTAATAAAAAATCATCATTGGTTGTTAAATATGACTCACAAGAACGTAATATTCCGATAATATAAGGTGTTGGAGCTTGTATTACATCAAGCATTAATGCAGGTAATATAGGAACATAGGTATGTGGCCATGAAAATGGATAAAGTAGACAAATGAATGTATTAATTAAACGTGTCAATGGGCCAAGTTCATTACCAATAAAGATTATTTTTTGTTCGTAGAGAATTGAAGAAAATATTTTAATGATTGTCTCTAAAGAAAACAAAATCATAAAATATTTTATCAAACATGATCTTAAAGAAATATTTTAAGTATACGAATAGATATTTCGACCCCTGCCATTTCCCAACAGATGCAACAGAGATAGTCGCGAGATTGAAACCTGCTGCAAAATTAGTATAATAGTTGTCTTTTATTTTTCTTTTATACTCATTGTAATTTATTTCGATTAATATCTTGCATTAAGAGCAAGTAGGAATTCATAATCCGCGATATGTACTGATTTCTCGTCTCTTTGAAAATATCAGTAGTTCCATCGTATTGTATGTATTAATTTCGCAGGGATTGTACTAACAGTTTTAGTATTGATGATGTAAAATTTTATATTTAATTTTCTTAAGCCGAATAATGTTAAACCGTATAAAGAAAAAGTTTTTGTTTTGCATTATTATTATTTAATATACTGAATAGTTTTATTAGTTTTTCGCTATTTCAGTATCTATAGAAAGGACTAGTCGAACTAAGAATTCTATGATATTGAACTATTGATTGATTTTTTCGAACTAGTTATAAAACATTTTCTCTACTACACAACTGAGCTATTAAAATCTGATTTACATTTTAAATTTGATAGATTTCAATCAAAATACAAGATTTTATCAAAATAGTATTCTGTACAACCACTATTTTGAAACAGTTGAGTGATAGTTGCCCAATCTAAATTCATAAGAGAACTCTGAACACATTCAGAAAGAACAAAAATAGTTTGATTCTATTTAGCTTCTTCTGACTCTGTTCAGCTGTTTTTAAATATACGAAAACTGATTGAATATTCTGTGCGAAGACTTTCGCAATATAGTTTAATAAATGTATAATTGAAAAAAGTCATTCAAAGCTCGACTGTTATAAATTCAAGAAGGAAAAAAGCGAAAATTCTGTATTTCAGCGTACTGTAAGGATATCTCAAAGCTACCCTCTAGAATTCGTTAATTATTTCAAGTCTACTAGCAACATGTGTCAAACATATTAATTGAAGCTTATTTTATGCAAGTGTGGTATCTTCTATGAGATACTGGAAACACAATAGCAAAAGAATGACTTCAATTTTCGCCTTCGTGCCTTCAAGATACTATATTCGACCGAGCTGAAAACTTTTTCATAGACACTACACACTGTTTACGATAAATATCTTTTTATTTTTTGTCCTTTAAATAGAAGAGCCAAAAATCGAAGGGATCCTAAAAAAAACGCTTGTATTTTTAATGAATAAGTTAGTTTGAGAAAAACATGAAACAACTTAAATTTGATTTTTAAACATTTAAAGACAATTTTTTTTGATCCCAAAATACACTCAGTGACTAGATATAACTGCAGACTATATACAAATTTTCAAACAAAAAAAAACTGATTTTATACCTGTTGATAAACTAAGTAAAGTAACTGAATCAATTAATACTTTTCTTCTATCATATTCACATTTTAATGTATATAAACCAACTGTTGTTGTACTAATATGTATTGTATCACCACGACTTGGTAAACGATGTTGATAAATTTCTTCTAAAAACTTTCTTGCATCATTATCTTTATATGAAAGAAATAATTCTGTAGC